AGCTATTTTTCAACTCAAGAATAACCTACATTTTGGGCAGATGATATTTTTGTTGTTTGATACTTAACTCCCACTGAAGGATTCTGAGCATCCTTGGGCCCATCCCCTATATGTCACATGCTCATTCCAGCCCTCTGTCAACCATAGTGAGCCACCTCTGCACACTTCCAAAGGCATGCTGTTGGGAACCCCCCACTAAGTTGAGTCTTTTCTGGGACAACCTTCAGATTCCTACTGAGGCTCAAGTACAGGGAAGCAAAGCACCAACAACAGAGTTTGAAAAGGGGGAGCTAAAGGTCCAGCCACTGCTGGCACAGGAAGCCACAAGCAGACCTATGAAGACAGGAAAAAGCACACACTAAAGCCGTCCTGGGGTACAGGCCAGGAGGATCCAGGCTTCAGTGAACAAGGATATCAGATCCCACACATCCAAATATCCCCGAAATCAGAGACCGTGATTCATCAGAAAGCTCCTGCAAGTCTCCGAGAGCTCGGACTTGGACTTTTGAGTGATGATGGAATGAGGCAAGACACTGGGACTACAAAGCACGGAATTTCTGCATTTTGCATTGTGAGATGAATGTGGTCCTCGAGGCTCAGATGCAGTTCTAAGGTTTGGATGTAGTTTGAATGTGTTCTCACGGGTTCACATGCTGGAGGCTTGGTCTCCACTGAGGTGATGTTAAGAGGTGGTGAGGCCTCTGAGAGAGGGCCTCTGGGAGGAATCAGATCCATCATGACACTGCCCTCATTAGTTCTCATGGGACCCTGCTTATAAAGAGTAAGACTGTTCCCTCCTTGTTCTCTGGCTTGTCATGTAATCTCTGTGTCTTGCACAGACTCCTTCCATGATGTGATACTGCCAAGGAAAGCTTTTACCAAAACCAGTGCCATGCTGTTTGGACTTTTAGCCTCTAAATTAAACAAAATAAACCTTTTTTTTTTCTTACAAAGGACCCAGAGTCAGGTATTTTGCTATAAGAGTAGAAAACAGACTAATACAATTCTACTAAAATTCCTTCTTCCTCAATCATGTTATATGTAATACAAATAAAATTTCCATGTTTTAAAAGAAGAAATGGATTTGTCATTTACTGGAATTCAAATGTCAGGAACTAACTGATCACACATATAATAAAGCTACTTCAGAGAACCATTATATAATGATCTATCTGCTAGTATTTATTTCTTTGACAAGTAGAATCTTAAACACATTATAGTATTGAGGAACCAACAGAGTTCCTAATTACCTATAGAGAAAAATAACATAGGCTCTCATAATCAGAATCTTAAGAATTATTCAAGAATATGTATTTTTCCACCTTTGAAAGATGTTATGCATATTTCAAAGAAACAGATTCAAAGAGAAGAGACATGAAAACAGAAATATTCCTCATCTTACCTGAATGTTGTCAAACTTCAGGCCTGGCATGGTGAGGTTCTCCTTGTCTATAAACACAGTACTGTACTGCTGGGTTGCTACCGAGATCAGGACATCTTTGGTCCCTTGGCTGGGAATCCATGCATCATTCCTTCGGTCCATCTCGCTCATGCTCAGGGCTGTGGCAAAAGGGTCATCACTCCCTGCGAATACCGCCTGCATCTGTGAAAAAGGGTTTGGAGACTCAGGAATTTCCAGAGAAGCTGTAGAAACACCTGATTCGGATCTTTCCATCCCTGCAGAGTAAGATGGGTCAGCAGAATCCGGGGACTCTTCTCCCACAGGGGTAGCAAGTGAAGAGCCTGCGTTGGGATTACTGACAGAAATGAAAGTAGAAGTGGTGAAGGAATCAAAGAAGTCAGAGGCCAAAGAATTAGTGTTGATTGTATCTCCAAAAAATTTACTCAGGCTTGGACTGGGCTGGACCACCTGAGGGGGGGTCTTAGCTGAGGTCTCACTCGCACTGCTGAAACTCGGAGACTTCACCATCTGAGACTCGAAGCCATCATGCAGAAACAAGTGTGGCTGGGAAGGAGCTGAATTTGACTGGCTAAAAATGGTGCACATGGGCACAGGCTCTTCCTTAGAAGAGGACTGACTAGAAGACATGTCTGACACCTGTTCTTCTGGGTGAGTATTTTCATCCCTGGGCACCAAGTCCTCTGCACCAGTGTTCCCAAGAGTGGACACGCCTTTCACCTCTTCCTGTGTAGAGTCTTCTTTCAAAGATGCTCTGCTATCAGGGGTCATATCTGAAACATCTCTAGGTGTGTCATCTCCATCAATCTCACTGTCGTTACTTAGAATGTCCATTTCTTCTTTTTCTGTGATATTGTCCAGTCTGTGATCAGTGCTGTCTTCTATGGGCTCCACAATATCCTGCAAACAGCCAAGGTCACCCACATCATCTTCGCTGTTATTGGGAGAGTCAGAAATAAGGACACTCTCCATCATGTGCTCATTAAGCTTATCTGCAAAGTTGTTAGAATCTTCTGACACAGTTACATTCTCTTCAGACCCAAACTCATCTCCACCAAGATCAATGGTTTCCTCATGATACAGAAGCTGCCCCTGCTCCTCCTGAGCTGCCTGCTTGGAGATGCTCTTGGCTCCCACCTCTGGAGGAGACTCTTTGGTCATGCTGTGGTCACCATCTTTAGCACTCTCCATGTTGCCTGGGAGAAAGACATCATAAATTAACCTTATCACCTGTCTATTCAGGTATTTTAAAGCTACTTTTGTCTTTTTTTTTTAATTGGAGGAATATTTATTAGTAAAATATTTAAATGGTTCAAAATCAAAAACATCTCTTTCTCCAGACTTTTTATTTAATATTTATTTTTTAGTTGTAGTTGGACACAATATCTATTTTAATTTTATGTGGTGCTGAGGATCGAACTCAGGGCCTCGCACATGCTAGGTGCCAAAATCCCAGTCCCTCTTTCTCCAGTCTTTTACTTATTAATTAATTGTGGCAAAAATACACATAAGATATACAATTTTAACTTTTTAAGTGTACAGTTAAGTACATATACATTGTAGTGTACCCAATCTCCAGAATTCTTTCCTCTTGCGAAACCAAAAATCTAGTTAAATGATCCCCTTTATGCTCATCCCCAGGCAACCACCCTGCTTTTCATCTCTATGAATTTGACTAGGTACCTCATATTAATGGAATTGTAAAGTAATTGTTTTTGTAACTGGAGTATCTTACTTCCCATAATGTCCTCAAGTTTTATTTATGCTGTAAGTAGCACATGTCAAAATCTCCTTTAAATGGGTGAATAATATTCCATTGCAAGCCTATAGCACCATTTATCTATTTGTCTCTTAATGGACACTGGAGGTTTCTACCTTTCAGCTGTAGTGAATACTGCTGCTATGAACATGATATTCCAGTCTCTCCTCCAGGTCCTGCTCTCCATTCCTTTCCATATTCCCCTAGAACTGAACTGCATCATATGGTAATTGGATTTTTACTTGAGGAACTGCAAAACTTTTCTATAGGCATGGAATCATTTTACACTACCAACAGTGCACAAGTGATCCGATTTCTCCACATCCTTGCCAATATATTCTTTAATAATAGGCATTCGAATAAGTCTTACTTATTCCTGAAGACTCCATGGGGGCCTACCAAGGCACTCCAATCTAACAATCTCTTCCCCGCTCCCTCAGTTTATAATACTGTCCCCCTAATTCTGGGAAAGTGAGACACTTGAGAACAGCAAGGGCAAAAGGGAAAGGTCGTGCTCATGGAGCACCGACGGCTGACAGCASAAACTGGCAACACTGATTGGCACTTGCTGTGTGCCTGGCCACCTGCCCATCCAATCCTCAGATACAGCTGCTGGGCTCCCCTCACTCCGCATCCCTAGGTGAGGAGGCTGGGCTGMGGGACCACGAAGCCCGCTTCCCTGCAGAAACCGTCACGGATCGCGGGAGAGCCAGGGCAGGGCGGCGGGGGGCGCCAGGGTCTGCGTGCAGGCCCGCCCCCTGGCCGCAGGGACGCTGGTCCTCACCTGCCACCCGCCCGGGGCTGGGAAAGGGTCTGTCTGTGGAGACCAAAGTCGGGGAGGCGGCGATAGCAACCGTGACAGCTTCCGGGGGCCCGCGACTTCTGCGCCTGCGCGTCCACTTCCGCGCATGCTCAGCTCAGGAACCCGCGGTCCGGGACCCCAAGCTCCCGAACTTCCGGTTCCTCGGAGGTGGGCGGGGCACGGGCTCGCGTCCRCATCTTGAGGTGCTAACTTGCCGCCGCCGTAGTCCCCGGAATGTGGACGGAAATCCCGACAGTGGGTTCGAGATCTGACACCAGGGCAACCCGAAAGCTTACGGCAGAGCAGGAGGCGAAAGGGAGACACTTTCTAAAAATACTCATTTCTAGGAGTTTGTGGCTGGCTTGTTCTCTCCGTTTCCCATGATGCACCAGAAGAACTGTGCAGTAGCACTGACCATAACGACGTTGACGGCGGGGGTGGATTACTAAGTGCGAAGCTCAACCCGGCGAAGGCGGGATTCAGTCTTTATGGCTGGCCCCCTGCTCGCGTGATTTCTCACTGAACCCCCGCATGGTGATGGTCRCAAATAAGCAAAACCAGACCCAGCTGTCTTGTCACTAAGTCTAATTAGGAGTGGAAGGAAAATCTAAAAGTCGTAGAGGTGTGTGTTCCTGGGACCCCCGGGGGCCGGGTTAGCCAAGGGGCTTCTATTTAACACCATCTATAGGTGCCACGCCGTGCCACTGCCCTTTCCCTAGGGTACTGCCCAGCGCAGGGCGGGCGCTCTGGGCGCGCTGCACCTTAAAGGCAGCCTCTCCATCGCGAGCTTTCTGTCTCACGACCTCGGGAGCCTCCGCGGCCTTCCCAGCCGACTCCTAATCCCAGGCCGGGTCGGCCCAGTTCTGCCGGCGCGAGTGCGGCTTCCAAGCACACTCCCCCGGGCTGGAACGCCCTGGGCCTTGCAGGGCTGGGCGCCCGCGGGAGACTACTCTCGCTCTGCACTGGCGACCTGTGCGATCGCGATGGGGTGACTCCAGTTCGCCGTGGCCAACTGTAAAATGGGAGTGTCTGAGCTGCGCATCGGGCTGCTGCGAAGATCCTACGCTGGAGTGGAAGGCGCTGGCCCAACACTCGGGACTGCCGTTCTGCAGTCAAGTTCTGATGCCCCAGCTCCGGCCACTCTATCTAAGGTTAGGTGCAGGGAGGGCTCCATCCARAAAACAGACTTGAGACGAGCCAGACGCCCAGTCGCCCATCGCACGGGACCAGCCCCGCCTTCCCGCCCTGGGACCCTGTAGCTGACCCGCGGGAGCCCGTGTGGGCATGCGCACGAGCCACGCGCCGCGGCCATTGGCTGCCGGCTGGGAGCGTTTTGATGACGCGKCCGCATAAACAGGAAGTGAGCCCTACGGTAGTCGGCCTGGGCCAGGAAAGGTGCGGGACCCGAGTCGTTTGTCTCGGGCAGGGAATGAATGGGCGTTGCGARCCCCCGGTGAGGTGGTACGCGCTGCCTGTAGTGAGGGTCTGACGGCGTCAGCGGCACCGCGGGCCGCCCGCCGCAGCATGGAGGACGATGCGCCGGTGATCTATGGGCTGGAGTTCCAGGTGGGCCACTTGGAGGGCGGAAGGTGCTGCACGGCCTAGTGCGGCGCTCGGGCGCCCTGGAGCCGGAGGCCTGAGGCACGGGCCGTTTAGCCTTTGACTGCGGCGGCACGCCAGACCTGCTGGCCAGCAGGCGTCCGGTTCCCGAAGGCTGGAGTGCGTCTGCGTGCTCAAAGGCCACGCGGGACTCCTCCAGCCCGGGAACCGTGTGTCCTGCCGGCCTCCSGAGGCCAGCGTGGCTCCGGACCGCGGCGCCCGGTCAGCTGGGACCGGCACGGCTCGTCGCCCTGCTCCCGTGCTCCCGCTCTCCAGCCGGACCTCTCGGGTGCCTGGGCACCGTGAGAGCACAGTAGGTGCTCAGCAAAGCCTCGGGAGCCCCGAGGCCTGTGCAGCGGGAATGCGCGGGGCGGCGGGGAAGCCCGCCGGCTTGCCCAGGGCCAGGTGAGCCCGCAACGTTTTCACCTGTTCAGAAAGCGCCGGAGCTCCTGGGACGATAAAGCTCCCAGGGAAGGATTCAGAGAAATAAAAGCATACATTGCTTTGTGCACACGAGTGTGTGGCAGTGTGTGCCCAAGATATGAGTGATCTCTGCTTGCAGGTAGTTGACTGCTAGAGGCAGCGGTATGAGGTTCTGAAAGCAAGCCGCCCGGACGCCTGGGGTTGAAATCCTGGCTCCAGCATTTAATAATTATGCATCCCTGGGCCTTGGTTTCCTTGCCAATGAAATGGAAAAACAAGTCCTTATCCCACGTTCTCGTTAGGAACATTAAGAGAGTTAGCATATTTAATTCGAGCACTTAGAACTCGGTGTTCAGTAAATGTTCTAGTTATAGCCTGACAGAATTCTTGAATGTAAATTCCATATGGAAGGTAAGGTGCAAGACTCATTCCTAAGAAGCATTACTGAGCACTGTTATGGTTTAGATGTGGTGTTCCCAAAGCTCCTGTGTGAGACAATGCAAGGTTTGGCCAAGAAATGAGTGGGGTATAGCCTTAACCTAATCAGAGAATTAATTCCTCATGGGATTAATGGAGTGGTAACTGGAGGCAGGTTCCCTGTGGCTGGATGAAGTGGATAATTAGGGGCATGGCTATGGGGTACATAATTTGATCTGTAGAGTGGAGTGTCTCTCTCTCTCTCTTTCTCTCTGCTTCTTGATCTTCATGGGAGCTGCTTCCCTCTGCCACACTCTTCTGCCATGATGTTCAGCCTCATCTAGAGCCCCAAGGAATGGAGCCTCCTGTCTGTGGACTGAGACCTCTGAAACCGTGAGCCCTCAAATAAACTTTTCCTCCTCTACAATTGTTCTGGTCAAATCCTTCAGTTGCAACTGCGAAGAAGCTGACTAAAACAAGCACTGAACTGTGTCTCAGACACTCTGCTTAGCAGAAGACCAATGCAGAGAAAGAGGTGTTTAGGATAGAAAAGTGTTGACCAGATTAGTGTTTGTGAAACATTTTGGTGTTATGGCCTCTTTTAGCTTATAGGAAAGGATTTTGACTTGTGTTCAGGATTTTAGTTCTTTTTTTTACTTTTGCCAATTTAACATTTTTAAAACACCCAAGTAATTGTTAGAAGTAATTTAAGAAATTAGGGCTGGGTTTGGTGGTGCACACCTGTAATCCCAGGCTGAGGCAGGAGGATCCTGAATTCAAAGCCAGCTTCAGCAACTTAGTGTGACCCTCTCTCTAAATAAAATACAAAAAAGGGTCTGGGATGTGGCTCAGTGGTAAAGCACCCGGGGTTCAGTCCCTGGTAGTGAAAAAAAGAAAAGAAATCAAGTTTTTGAAAATCAGAATAAAATTAGCAGGTTCCTAAACCCTCCCTTCTTATCTTAGCTTATTACCTGAGATGACCACTTTCAATGTTTTCAAAAACTGTATTTTCTGGTTTTTACCATAAAAAGGAGAAGCATTATGTACTTTTCATAATCTTTTGACTGGAAGTCACATGAAATGGGAAGTTTTTGCTTTCTTTACACTGTTCCTTGCCTCCTTTTAGACTCCCAGCATAGTTTTATCACCGATATCCTGAAGTCCATATTCAGATGTTTGTGGTTCCTAGTAATATAGAAATATTGACTGTTGATTCATAGGGTAACATGCTTTCAGTTTTTTCTTGAACAGCTTTTCATTTTCCTGCAGTTTCCTGTTTTTCTTGTTTCCTCATCTTATTGGGACATTGTGTATCATCAGGACTATCGATTTGGGGTGAGCAGGAGTTTCCATCTCAGGGAGCTCTTCGTCTCTGACCCTAGCAGCTGAGTGCCTTGGGCAGTTCCCTCACACACCTTCCTGGGTGCCCTAGACTGGCCTGGTGGGAATCAGGAGTCCTGCTTCACTCTTCCTGCCCTCAGCCCTTGTCATCTAGACATTTTCTTAGTAGTTGTTTGGAGGATGACAGTTGACATGCTTTTGTTGGGGTAGATTTTAGTTTAGCTCCATTGATCCTCCTTCCCAAGGAGGTAGACCAATTCATTGTCAGGAAGACTTTTTACTGACTGTGATTACTTTTGAATGGGACAGATAGAATGGGACAGCAGAAGTCTGTGAAACCTCTTTGGGACTGAAAGTGTACCAGGTGAGGCTGGATGAAGTGAGACTGCGCATACAAATGTTTATTGAGGTACTATTATGTGCACATCACTGTATGTGGTACCGATAGGCTCTGACCTCAGGCAAGCCAGATATATTTGTGGAAGGAATGGCATAAGAGGTGGAGGGGAGGTAACTGTCTCTTAAAATCTATTCAGGCCTGGCTAGGTGCAGTGGCGCACATATGTAATCTCAGCAGCTCTGGAGGCTGAGACAGTTCAAAGCCAGCTTCAGCAATGGCAAGGTACTAAGCAACTCAGTGAGACCCCGTCTCTAAATAAAATGCAAAATGGGACTGGGGATGTGGCTGAGTGCTTAAGTGCCTCTGAGTTCAATCCCCAGTGTCTAAATAAATAAAATGTATCCAAAGAAGTAAAATACATTAAACCAAGAAGTGGACGCAGCAGCAGACTGTTACCAAGGAGAAGCCAAGTGTTGGTTCTGACGGAGGAGTCTGGGCAGGTGGCTGGCTGGCTGGCTGGGCAGGCGGGCCAGGCCTGTTGTYGGTGAGGAAGCCTGTGCCCTCAAGCCTGTGCGGAGATCCGCAGATGTGTGCCTTGTTGAGTTTTAATATCAAGGGTGGAGATTCAGTTTTTTGGTGGAGTTCTCTCTTTTTGGCTTCTTTTTTGGAATTAGGGATTAAACCTAGGGCTTGGCAAATGCAAGGCAAGTCGAGATTCAGTTTTTTTAAAAGACTTTTTTTCTTAGATTTTTCTACATCCATGGAATTGATCATATATGATCATTTGATTTTTTTCGTATTAGTAGTTTTGTGAATATTGGATCACCTTTGAGTTCCCAGGAAGAAGTCCACCTGTCTGGAATGGCACCTGCTGGATTCCCCTTTCTAGTAGCTTATGTGGAACTTTCCTTTTCATATTTGTCATGTCATTTTTGTGGCTGTTTGATTCTGTGGCTGGGAGAGCCTCAGGAAGAGCACCTGGGGGCCCAGTGGGTGCACTGCTGCCTGTGCCTGGTGACACTCTACTGTTTGTGCCTGGTGACACTCCACTGGTTGTGCCTGGTGACACTCTACTGGTTGTGGTGGTGACACTCTACTGGGGTTGTACCTGGTGACACTCTACTGGGGTTGTGCCTGGTGACACTCCACTGGTTGTACCTGGTGACACTCCACAGGTTGTACCTGGTGACACTCCACAGGTTATGCCTGGTGACACTCTACGGGTTGTGCCTGGTGA